TAGATCGGATTTGACGGTACTATATGTTATTCAAAATTTAAACCGCACCTCCTTCTCTCCTCTCGTTCCTGAATCGAGACTCTTGATGAAGAGAAATGAGTCAATCCATTGCCAGAAAAGAGTGACGAGCTTCGTTGCGGAATTGACGGTGGAGTGGATAAATGGAATGGAGAAGGAGAGGTGAATGACGGGGTGACCGAGGTGATCGCGGTTCTTTGAATTGATTGACTGTTGTTTGGTTGTGGGGTGCCCGGGTAATCACGCCAAGACATGCTATCTGAAAAGAAAAAACAAATGAGTTAATGCACTTCAAACAGAAATTAGTTAGATTGAATTTAAGGGTGATGTTAAAGAAAGAAAAAGCACGTGGACATTGTAGCAATAGCTGCCCGACTATAACATTTTGAGTTGACAGTTTGACAAGGTTTAGTTTAGTCAAAAAGGAATCGAGAATCCAGGAATTCACTCTATAATAGGCAAAGTATAGTTTAGTCAAAGAGTACTCCAGAAATTCACTCCGTAACATTACTGTTTCCATGACAAAACAAAACATGACATTATTTCTAGAAAGTATTCAGATAAATGATGAAAAATTGAGGTTGAGCTTTGAATTGAACTTCTAAAACTAGTTACTAGGTTGATGCAAAAGAAGCTTTGATTATTTACAAACATTAAATTAAATCAAGAGTCATTTAGGTAACAATTTCTTCTAAACAGCAGAATAAATTGCAGAATAAACAAAAGCATCATCGTTATCTATAACATCTCTCCAACATTGCTTTGACTCCCTTATCGAAGAGCTCTTGATTCTGTGATTGAAGAGAGTCGGTCAGCCAAAACTCGACCTTTTGCGCATTTTGAAACTCGCAATTCGCAAGGAAACGTTGCATCGTCTGAAGAAGTGAAAATCAGATAGTGATAAGTGAACTATCTGGCGCATGCGGACTATATGGCCCATCGATCGCTGCCAAGTGATGCTCATGTGGCTCGTCCTCAAGAGATTCAATACCATCAATCGCTGCCGATTTTGTGATGCTCAGTGGCTCGTCCTCAAGAGATTCAATACCATCAATCGCTGCCGAGTGATGCTCATGTGGCCCGTCCTCAAGAGATTCAATATGGCCCATCGATCGCTGCCGAGTGATGCTCATGTGGCTCGTCCACAAGAGATTCAATACCATCGATCGCTGCCGAGTGATGCTCATGTGGCTCGTCCTCAAGAGATTCAATACCATCGATCGCTGCCAAGTGATGCTCATGTGGCTCGTCCTCAAGAGATTCAATACCATCGATCGCTGCCAAGTGATGCTCATGTGGCTCGTCCTCAAGAGATTCAATACCTTCTCGGAATCGGACAAACCAACTCTTCCATATACGAAGCTTTCGCTGTGTGCTGTGTTACGGAGAAAATTAAAAGTCGAGAGATTGAAACCCTTTTCACGCAAAATTTCATCAAACTTCTTGAGCTGTTGAATAAAAAAAGGTGATTCAGCACTTTGATTCAACTGTTTTTCCGGGCTCTAATAATTCGAAATAAACAATATCGTTGATAATATCGTCCGTTGATATTTCAAGCAAGACAACATCACTTTCTGCCCATGAAAATCCGGCTTTGGAGTTGGAATTGGGCATTTGACCTTTGCTGAGCCATTGCCTTTTTCGAGAAGTGTAGCAAAGTGTAGCAGTGTAGCAAAGCAAATCCAATTCTTGTCTATCGCCAAGATATTCAAAAGAATGGCTTCTTTTCTAGCTTCTTTTTGACTTGAGCTTCTTTCCTGGCTTCTTTTCGACTTGAGATCTGGCTGATCGAAACGCGTGCTTTCAGATTCTCGATGTTCAATTCATTTGGAACCCATCGTCCATTACGATTGTCGCAAAAATAGCTCGATATCTCCACCCATTCTCCATAAAACTTCTTTTTGGGGGGGCTATCTGTCATTTGGTTTGACTCAAAATGGGAGCGGGACAAATGCGACCTTTTTTTTTTGCGCATCCGGACATTTTCGCACCTTTTTTTCTACACTTAGCCCATTAGCGCACCTTTTTTCGCGTTTTAAAAAGCTCTAAAAGCTAATGTTAACCAATTTCTATTCCAAAACTTGTTTTTCTAGGTAATTTTAGGGCGTAGAATCGAAATTTTGACATAACAGAGCGTGTATATGACATAACATAAGCTAATATTAATCAATTTGAAAGACTAGGTCAAATTACAGAAAATTGTTCATTTTTCTCTTTGTATGACTCCGTCCGTTCGCTTCCACAAGCTCTGAAATGCCAAAATCTCGATTCTACGCCCTAAAATTACCTAGAAAAACAACTTTTGGAATAGAAAATGGTTAATATTAGCTTTTAGAGCTTTTTGCTTTTTTAAAACGCGAAAAAAGGTGCGATAATGGGTTAAGTGTAGAAAAAAAGGTTCGCAAATGTCCGGGTGCGCAAAAAAAAAGGTCGCATTTGTCCCACTCCCCTAAAACCTATAGATAAATAAAGAAAACGATGTATTCTAGCATTATTCTAAAAGATTTAGGGCTAAAAGAAGGGCTTAAAAGAAAGGAAAACCAAGAAAGGAAACCCCAAAAAAAAGAAAGAAACAGAATCTCAGAGAAAACAGAGTCAAAAATGTATTCTGAAGTAGCAAATCGATTGTTTTGTGGACTTTTTTTGGGCGTGGATCGACGGAATGGTGATTAGACTTGGAGAAATCAGTTGGAAGTGGTAAGAAAAAGGCAAAAAGGGGAGGAAAGGAGAGGAAAGGGGAGGAAAAAGGGAGAAAAAGAGTAAAAAAAGAGGGATTTTGTGAACGAAATTTGAAAACGTTGAAAGAAATTTAGCATTGGAAAAGAAATTTGGCGTTGGAAAAGAAAAATTTGTTGCTTTTCGGGGCTTATCAAAGCTTTTTGGAGAGGCTGGCAGGCTGTGATGACTCATTTTTCCGTCAGAAAATCACACTTTTCAAGTCATTTACAACTCAAATCTTGTGTTTATGATGGAATTTTGGTCATTTTCACCTAATTTCCGGTGATTTTACGAGTTTTTAACAAAAAAAATAGGTTTATAGTAAAAAAAGAGGGTTTTTTCGGATTCCAATATGGTTCCAATGTGGTTCCAATGTGGTTCGGATACGGTACCAATATGTTTCCAATATGGTTCCAATATGGTTCCAATATGGTTCGGATACGGTTCCAATATGGTTCCATATGTTTCCAATATGGTTCCAATGCGGTTCCAATATGTTTCCAATATGGTTCCAATATGGTTCCACTATGGTTCCAATACGGTTCCAATGCGGTTCCAATATGTTTCCAATATGGTTCCAATATGGTTCCACTATGGTTCCAATACGGTTCCAATATGTTTCCAATATGGTTCCAATATGGTTCCAATACGGTTCCAACATGGTTCCAATATGGTTCCAATATGGTTTGGATACGGTTCCAATATGGTTCCATATGTTTCCAATATGGTTCCAATATGGTTCCAATATGGTTTGGATACGGTTCCAATATGGTTCCATAGTTCCAATATGGTCCAATTGGTTTGGTACGGTTCCAATTGGTTCCTAGTTTCCAATTGGTTCCAATTGGTTTGGATCGGTTCCAATATGGTTCCATATGTTTCCAATATGGTTCCAATATGGTTCCAATATGGTTCGGATACGGTTCCAATATGGTTCCAATATGGTTCCAATATGGTCCCAATATGGTTCGGATACGGTTCCAATATCTTTCCAATATGGTTCCAATATGGTTCGGATACGGTTCCAATATGGTTCCATATGTTTCCAATATGGTTCCAATACGGTTCCAATATGTTTCCAATATGGTTCCAATATGGTTCCAATATGGTTCCAAGTAGCTTAGATTTAGCAAAAATCAGATCAAATTCATGCTTGAAAACAACTCCTAGACATTTTCAGACTAGGAGAACATTTCCCAAAAGAAATAACTGAAAAAAAAATCGGAAAATTGATCGACACGGGATCGAACCCTCGAGCTTTCGCGTCTCAGCCGATTGCCGACCAAGCGGTGACCCACTGCACCACGCCACCATGGTGCAGTGGGTTTAGAGGCGAGTCGTCGTCAGTCGTCAGAAGGCAAATGGTCGCTGGTTCGACCCCCGGTCAGGCCAGAAAGATGCGAAAACTTTTACAAAATCAAGAATTTCAATAGGAAATCGATATTTCACCGTATTTTGTTCAATTTCAAGCAGAAAACTTCCAGAAAATCAGTGAAAATCAGTGAAAATCTGGGGGAATTTCATTTGAAAGCCGCTTATCACCAGAAAGAGCCTCTTTTTTGTTAAAAAAAGCGGGGAAAGAAGAAAGTTGGTAAGTGATTTAAAATATAGCTGAAAAGGGATAGAAAATTTGATTTTGAATGTTTTTAATGAGAATTTGAATGTGCAGCTGTGTGTGAAAGAGGAAAAATGACTCATTTTTCTCAAAAGAATGGTTTTTTTTCTGAAAAAAAGCAAAAAATGGAAGAAAATGGGGAAAATTGCGAAATTTTATAGACAAACTAATGAAAAACGAAGAAAAATAGAGGGTTTTGGCCATTTTTCCTTCAACTTTCGCCGTTGCCAACCTTGGCTTGGCAAGCTGGAAATTTTTGTTGAGTTGCCAACTTTGACAGCGCATAACTTTGCCTAGAAACAATATTATCTTTAGTTCTTTATTTCATTGGATAGAGGAGATTTTAGGCTTTCGAATGATATTAAAAAGATTTTGATGGGATTATCCGAACTTGAGAAAATCAAGGAAAAAAACGCTCGAGTCCGTCACAGCGCTCTCCCTATTTAGCCTCTATTTTCTCCGGATTCCCTAATCCAATCAAGCTGAATTTGATATCATTCGAAAGCCTGTAATCTCAGCTATTCAATGATATAGAATAATTAAGAACATTACGATCTCTAACTAAAGTTATGAACGATCAAAACCAACTGCTGATTCAAAAAGCCCAAGAGCCTGCCAAGAGCCCAGCCAGCCAAGTAAAAAGTGATTATCTTTTATAAAACTCACCCAATTCCTCATAGAGATCTCCATCTTCCGTAGATTTTGTCGATTTTTCCGTTCCAATCGTCGAAATTTGCGGTTTTTCATCGAAAACCGGGATTGGCGGCGGTTTTCGATGAGTGGTGACTTGTTGTGAGTGCTGGGATTCAATCCATCTGAAAAAAAGAATTTAAAGAATCAATCTGGATGTCACCGACTTTATTGCAACTATTCAATATATCTGAAATGCAAATTTTCAGTATCGATCTCTGTACCTTAGTGTTGACAGTCTGTGTTCAGTACTATCTGAAATAGCAGTACTGTGCTCGTTTAAGGTTGTTCATAGTACTCTTGCGTACTGCTAGGTGTTACTGTGCCTGCCAGGTTAGATTATCGAACTGTACTGTTAAACTGTACTCGTTACTGTATCTGTAGCTATTATAGTACAAGTAAAATCCCCTAGCTAAGTACAGTACTCTTTGGCTTACACAAGAGTATTGATAGGGTACAGTACCTGGATGAGGATACAGTACCTGGATGAGGATACAGTACCTGGATGAGGGTACAGTACCTGGATGAGGGTACTGTACCTGTCCCAGGGTAGAGTATCTGTCCCAGGGTTCAGTATCTGTCCCGCAGGGTAGAGTATCTGTCCCAGGGTTCAGTATCTGTCCCAGGGTACTGTACCTGTCCCCGGGTACAGTATCTGTCCCAGGGTACAGTACCTGTCCCAGGGTACTGTACTTGTCCCAGGGTACTGTAGTTGTCCCAGGGTACTGTACTTATCCCAGGGTACTGTACTTATCCCAGGGTACTGTACTTGTCCCAGGGTACTATACCTGTCCCGGGTTACAGTACCTGTCCCAGGTTACAGTACTTGTCCTAGGCTACAGTACTTGTCTCAGGTTTCCTCAAAACATCGAATATTTTCTTATTTTATGCAAATTTCAATTCAAACCTCTCCATTTCGCCTTTATCTTTCGTTCTTTTCCTCCCCGAATCCCCATGTCGCTCATTTCGGCGTTTCTTTGAGTTCGATCGACTGATTGAGTGAAAACACTCGAGAGAACCGGCACTGAAAACACGACTAAGTTACAGTTGTGCAAATTTCGATAACAGATAACATTCGATAACAAAAAACAATTCTTACACATAATGATAGTGCACAACGGGTGTGTCTCCGTGAAAATCGCTTTCTTTCAGCGGTGGTCCTCCATTTGCTCGAGTCAGCAAATGCTCGCAACGATAGCGCTCCTCTTCTTCGTAACTGAAAAGAAAAGTGGAATTGAAAATCGGTTTAAAGTTAATTCCTCTTGTACTCGGTCAGAGCAGAAGCAAGCATTGGTACTCAAAAATTGACCAGTCAGAGGTCAGGCTCTGGCTTAGGCTTGGGCTTGGGCTTAGGCTTAGGCTCAGGCTTAGGCTTAGGCTTAGGCTTAGGCTTGGGCTTAGGCTTAGGTTTCTCTTTGTCTGACTCTGGGGGCTAGTTTTACTGTTGAGTGACTTGGTCTAATGCAGGAAAAGTATCTTTCCAGTTCAGGATTTGAGCTAGCTTCTGGCCAACTGAATTGGCTTCTAGCCAACTGAAGTTCAAGTGGTGCTACTGTTAAACTTGATCTGATTTTGATTTAGAGAAATGACACCCTTATATCAGATGCTACAATGGATTGCTTGCAGGTTCAGGCTCTGGCTTAGGCTGAAGCTTAGGCTTAGGCTAAGGCTTAGGCTTAGGCTCAAGCTCAGGCTCAGGCTTAGGCTTAGGCTTAGGCTTAGGCTCAGGCTCAGGCTTAGGCTGAAGCTTAGGCTTAGGCTTAGGCTTAGGCCTAGGCTGAGGCTGAGGCTCAGGCTCAGGCTTAGGCTGAAGCTTAGGCTTACGCTTAGGCTTAGGCTTAGGCTTAGGCTTAGGCTTAGGCTCAAGCTGAGGCTGAGGCTCAGGCTCAGGCTTAGGCTGAAGCTTAGGCTTACGCTTAGGCTTAGGCTTAGGCTTAGGCTTAGGCTCAAGCTCAGGCTCAGGCTCAGGCTTAGGCTTAGGCTTAGGCTCAGACTTAGGCTTAGGCCCAGGCTCAGGCTTAGGCTTAGGCTTAGGCCCAGGCTCGGGCTTAGGCCCAGGCTCAGGTTCAGGCTTAGGCTGAGGCATGATTACAATGCTTACTTCTGTTCTACCTACAGCAACACAAAAGTAACCTAATGAATCTTCTAATGAAAATCACAAACTAGTGTTTGGTGGTGTACTGTACCTCGTTTTTGTGGCATTTGTCGAGGCGGACGAGTGATGACTTCGGAATGACGAGACAAGGACTCCGCGTCCCTTCGTCAGCCCCTTTTCATCCAAAAGATTTCCTTTCTGAAAAATAGGTTTGTAGAAGCCTTAACTGAAAGACTATATGATTTTAATGGATGAACCTGATAAATCGCTGTTGTACTGAACTCTTCGGGCAATCGGGCAGTTTTTACCGTTGAAAAGACATCATTTTGATGATCTAAAGACATCAGTTAGTGAGCACGTGACTGTTATAACTTTTACAAACTGTTATAACTGTTGCAAATGACTGTTACGCATGTTTATTACCTCTAACATGCGTGTGTTGTCGATGCTGTTGTTTGAGTACAGTGGAGTGAAGACTTTGCGAGCTGGCTGTCCGAAGCGGCGTTTTCGGTGGCTCGCGTTCTAAAGAAAAAATAAGATCAAAGTAAGACAGCGATTTAGTAGAAAAAACTTTAGTAAAAAAAGCTTTTCTGTGCTAAAATGAATCGATTGAATGAAGGAATCGATTGAATGAATGAATGCGCGCAATAGAAACAGGTGCTTAATTGCAAAAACTAGAGCACATCGGGCTAAATCTAGAAACGATCATTTTTCTTTGATCTAGATGCTGTGTAAGCACTAGTGTCTGGTCTAGAGGTCTAGATGATCTAGATGCAAGCACCCAGGCCATAGCCTGTTCCGTAAATTTGCCTACTTTTAAACAATTTGAATCAGAATCAATCAATCAATCAAAATCAATCAATCACTCTCAAAATCAATTTGAATAACCAAAAATCTATATTCTGAAAACCAACCAATCGCAATATGATGCACGAATTCTCTCGGTTCACTCTTTCTCGTGGCGCGCGTCGTGAATTCGATCGTCGCATAGCGATCATGTGATGAGGAACGGGGACGAATTTCCTGGACAACAATTTTGGAGAATCAGTGAAACAACAATTTTGGAGATTTTGTCAGTGAAACAGTTTTCTCCCCAAACCTCGTAGTGATATGCGTGTCTTTCCCCTGAATTCCCGGCGTTCACGAATTCCTCGTAGTGGTGCTCGTTTGGGTGCGGGTTTTGATTGATTGGATCCGAGTTTCTGTTTTCGTCTTCCTACAAGAATTATATTTGTAGCCGATTAAGTTAAACGGCCAGCCGGCTTAGTAAGTTGGTCGGCCAGCCGGCTTAGTAAGTTGATCGGCTAGCCGCCTAGCTAGTTGATCGGCTAGCCGGCTAGCTAGTTGATCGGCTAGCCGGCCTAGCTAGTTGATCGGCTAGCCGCCTAGCTAGTTGATCGGCTAGCCGGCCTAGCTAGTTGATCGGCTAGCCGCCTAGCTAGTTGATCGGCTAGCCGGCCTAGCTAGTTGATCGGCTAGCCGGCTTAGCAAGTTAGTCGGCCAGCCGGCTTAGCAAGTTAATCAGCTAGCCGCCTAGCAAGTTGATCGGCTAGCCGGCTAGCAAGTTAATCGACTAGCCGGCTTAGCAAGTTAGTCGGCCAGCCGGCTTAGCTAGTTGATCGGCTAGCCGGCTAGCAAGTTAATCGGCTAGCCGGCCTAGCAAGGTAGTCGGCTAGCCGGTCGGCTAGCTAGTCGGCCAGCCGCCATTGATCGGCCAGCCGCCATTGATCGGCCAGCCGCCATTGATCGGCCAGCCGCCATTGATCGGCCAGCCGCCATTGATCGGCCAGCCGCCATTGATCGGCCAGCCGCCATTGATCGGCCAGCCGCCATTGATCGGCCAGCCGCCAGCTTCATGGCCTTTTGATCAAGGCCATGAAGCTAATCAAACTCGAACCAGCCTTGACCCTGAGCCTGTTAGGGATCTGGCCGGGATCTGACTTAGATCTGGCGCTGATTCAAACTCGAGAACTAAAGCCTAACTAGAACAGTCATCTAGTATTCAAAATCTTTCATTTAGATTCAGATTTTTAAAACTCACCGAATTTTTTCGTTTCCAAAAGCGCGCATCGCCGCTTTTAAACGAGAAATAACGGGGCATTGCTGCGAAAAAAAATGGATTTATCTAAAAAAATCGATTCTAGAAAGATATAAATCGAAAAATAAGAAAGATTGAATATATAAGAAGAGAAAAACATTGAAAAACATTATTTTACTGTTGATTTACAATGCTTTGACGATCAGTGAAAGCCGAGGAAATAAACCGTAATGTAAATCGATGTAAATAGATGTAAATAGATGTGCACAAAGGTTGTTCTATTTGCAAAAAAACAAAACAAACTTGTAATTAGTAGTCCAATTAGTCCAATCTCGCAAACATAGAGTGGGGCTTAAATCAATTTGGGCTTAAATCTTTGTTCTGCCTGGCGCACTGACCAGTCTTGTCAACTTTCCGGTTCAATTACCCAACACAGCTTTGGATGGCTGTTGGGTAAGTAAACCGGGTAGCCAGGTACAGCACTGGACAATGAAATATCATATTTGAAAAACTGTCGTCACTTTCGCGCGTCTGTAACTCCATTGTCTTTGAGTTTAAACTATTAGTGTTATACATTTTCTGAAAGCTCTTTTCAAGGGCTACACAATGGTAATATTAATATTAAGAAATACGGTAAAGACAAGAGAGTTACAGGCGCGTGAAAGTGATGATCGTTTTTTAATATGATTTTTTCAAATATGATATTTCATTGTCCATTAGTGTAGGGAGAGCTAAGATAGACCAAACCAGAGCTCCAGCGCTCCAGAGTTCCAGCTCCAGAGCTCCGGAGCTCTAGTAGCTCCAGCTCCTGAGCTCCAGAGCTCCAGAGCTCCAGCTCCAAAGTTCTCCAGAGTTCCAGCTCCAGAGTTCCGGAGCTCTAGTAGCTCCAGCTCCTGAGCTCCAGAGCTCCAGAGCTCCAGCTCCAAAGTTCTCCTGAGTTCCAGCTCCTGAGTTCCAGCTCCAGAGCTCCGGAGCTCTAGTACCTTCTTTTCAACTTTCTAAATAATAAAAAAACAATAAAATAAACAAAAAACAAGCAAAAAACAAGCAAAAAACAATAAAATAAATAAAAAGCTTTGTGTTAACTGAGAATTGGACGAAAAATCGAGTCCGATTGAAGGGGGAAGGATCGAGAGTGGACATTGCAATGGAAAAGTGGAGGAAAAGAGAGAAAGGGAAGGGAAAAAGGGAAAAGGGAAAAGACACAAAAAGTGAGGAAAAAGTCAAGAGGACACATTTTATAGTCAAAGAAGAGTCAAAGAAGAACAGGAGAATGGGTGAATGGAAAGAACGGGTGGATTGAAAGAACGGGAGGAGTGGGGACAGTTGGCCTACACTTGGAAGAGTGGGGGTCAATCTCCTTGCTTTTCCCGTACCAAAGGAGTACTCCTTTCACTCCTTTGATACTCTTTTCACCCCTTTGATCTCTAGATGCTAGTTATTTCGTCATAATTATGATTAATGTTTCTTTTAAATAACTTCAGAGGTTTCTTTTTGAATTAGCTTTTTTGGAATTAGCTTTTTTTAATTAGCTTAGATTGGGATTTCTAGTGTTAATGAAATCAAAAGAAGACGCGCAACAGAAAGTTTTAGCTTTACTTTAGGTGTCCAGGGTCCAGGTCCTCAAGGCCCAGGCCCAGGCCCAGGTCCACCAGGCCCAGGCCCAGGTCCACCAGGCCCAGGACCAGGTCCACCAGGCCCAGGACCAGGTCCACCAGGCCCAGGCCCAGGTCTCTGTGCCTGGGTCCACAAGACTTTCTGTGCATCGCAAATCAATCATTCAACTTCATAAGGACGATATCCGACATTTCTTAGCGATTTCTTAGCGACTGAACGTTTCCAAAAAACCTGTATCAACCACTATTGCACTTCTGGAATTTGGGAATTGGCAACCACTTCTGAAAAGGAATTGAGAACCACTTCTGATCGTCAGAGACGAAGGAGAAAGCATACGGTGATCTACAAAGTGATCTACGATCTACGTGATCGTGATTATCAATAGTGTACTTGATCGTGAACCCACGTCACTCCATTCCCAAGATGGTCGCTCATGTTGACTCATGTTGACCATCTTCATCTCCAATCAAGGGCCATCTTCCTCTCCGATCAATGTCCATCTTCCTCTCCGATCAATGCCCATCTTCCTCTCCGATCAATGCCCATCTTCCTCTCCGATCAATGACCATCTTCATCTCCGATCAATGCCCATCTTCCTCTCCGATCAATGGCCATCTTCATCTCCAATCAATGCCCATCTTCATCTCCGATCAATGCCCATGTTCATCTTCATCTGCGGACCACAATTCAATGCATTACTCTGTGTGAAGTGTCAAAAGCTTGTGCAAAAGCCTATTCCAACTTGGATTCATTCAAATCACTTCAAAAAGCATGGAGCTTCAAAAAACCACTTCAAAAAGCTCAACCCCCAATATCTTCTCGCCATGGTTGACCCATTCCCAAAACGTCTATAGCGTATATAAGCTTGTCTATAACGTCTATAAGCTTGTCTATAACGTCTATAAGTTTGTCTATAACGTCTATAAGCTTGTCTACAACGTCTATAAGCTTGTCAATAACGTCTATAAGCCAAGGGCAATACTTTTGAAAAGAACTAAATGAAGAAAAAGAAAGACTAAACTAAACTAAACGATGTTTGCTTTTTTGCTGACTTAATATATTAGCTTTATGTGACAGCATCAGAAGATTCAGTCTACAAGAAAGAAAACTCGATTTTGCTTTGTTTTATCTAAATAGTTTTGGCTAGCATTTAGCAGTTAGAAGTTAGCAGTTAGCAGTTAGCAGTTAGCAGTTAGCAGTTAGCAGTTAGCAGTTAGCATTTAGCAGTTAGCAGTTAGCAGTTAGCAGTTAGCAGTTAGCAGTTAGCAGTTAGCAGTTAGCAGTTAGCAGTTAGAAGTTAGCAGTTAGCAGTTAGCAGTTAGCAGCTAGCATTTAGCAGTTAGCAGTTAGCAGTTAGCAGTTAGCAGTTAGCAGTTAGCAGTTAGCAGTTAGAAGTTAGCAGCTAGCAGTTAGCAGTTAGCAGTTAGAAGTTAGCAGTTAGCAGTTAGCAGTTAGAAGTTAGCAGTTAGCAGTTAGCAGTTAGCAGTTAGCAGCTAGCAGCTAGCATTTAGCAGTTAGCAGTTAGAAGTTAGCAGTTAGCAGTTAGCAGTTAGCAGCTAGCATTTAGCAGTTAGCAGTTAGAAGTTAGCAGTTAGCAGTTAGCAGTTAGCAGTTAGCAGTTAGCAGTTAGCAGTTAGCAGTTAGCAGTTAGCAGTTAGCAGTTAGCAGCTAGCATTTAGCAGTTAGCAGTTAGCAGTTAGCTGTCTAGCTTTAGCTGTCTAGCTTTAGCTGTTTAGCTTTAACTGTTAGCTGTTAACTGCTTAGCAGTTAGCAATGTCAAAAGTTAGCAAAAGCTAAATCTTTTGACTAATCGGTCACATCGGTCACATAAAACTCGTTTTCCAGTAGAAAAAAGTGGCGTCTAACTTAATCCGCTTTGTTATTTTTTGTTTCTTTCCTATTTTTTTGTTATTGAAGCTTCGTTATTGAAGTTATTTTCCAAAAAAAGGTCTGTTTTTCAGCGTTATTTTCAATTTTGTAAAGAATGTTTAAATGAAATTGGATAAAACCCTTTCGGGGTTTAAAAAAATACAGTCACCTCTCTCTCTCTAACGGAATGAAAGGGACGAGAAAAGTTTTCTATTATATAGAGCTTTCCGTTGTATAGAGCTTTCCGTTGTATAGAGAGATAATTTCAATTTTTGAGATCTAGTGGGAGATTAGAGTGTTGAGCTTCTGCAAAAGCTTGGAAAAGAAATAAAACGTCCGACCGTCCGTCCGTTCGTCCGCGCTGAGCGACCACGTAGAGGACGCCCGAAACCGTAAAATAATCATCAACCCGGCTCGGCTGGGTGCACTACTAGAGAGAATTACTATTAATATTAGAGAGAATACGGTATTATTATTATTATTATATTACCAGCTGCGCTGGGCGTTCTCTAGCTCAGCGTGGACGCGGAGCGCTGACGCTCAGCACGGACGCGGAGCGCTGACGCTCAGCACGGACGCGGAGCGCTGACGCTCAGCACGGACGCGGAGCGCTGACGCTCAGCACGGACGCGGAGCGCTGACGCTCAGCACGGACGCGGAGCGCTGACGCTCAGCACGGACGCGGAGCGCTGACGCTCAGCACGGACGCGGAGCGCTGACGCTCAGCGCCGACGGACGGACGGACGGTCGGACGTTTTATTTCTTATAGTTAGAATAGTGTAATGTCGGCCGAGAGCAAAATTCCATTCCGTTATATAGAGTTTTCCTTAATATAGAGTTCCGGAGAGAGTCGACTGTATCAAAAAATCGGTTGAAGTTTTAAAAGCGGAGGGCGCTAGGGGAGGACACTAGTGGAGGACACTAGTGGAGGGCACTAGCAGAGGGCACTAGTGGAGGACAATAGCGGAGGGCACTAGTGGAGGGCACTAGGGGAGGGCACTAGTGGAGGGCACTAGTGGAGGGCACTAGGGGAGGGCACTAGCAGAGGGCACTAGGGGAGGGCACTAGTGGAGGGCACTAGGGGAGGGCACTAGCAGAGGGCACTAGGGGAGGGCACTAGTGGAGGGCACTATGATTATTATTATTATTATTATTATCATCATCATCATCAATATCAATACTTTATTCATTTAAGCATAAAAAAGTGACAACGGAACATGTTTAATAAACTTGAACACACAGGAAACTTGAACAAAAGAAGAGAAAAATTGTAGAGACTGAAGCATAAAATTAATTGTATCTAAAATGAATTCTATATAAATTCTATTTAAATTCAAATTTAAATTCAAAGTAAAATAGAATCATCAAAAGACGAATGGTCAGCAGTTTCAAATATGTTTCGGAGAAGTTTGAGAGTAAGTGAAAGTACTCCAATATGAATGAATAATCCGGGTGAAATCTGAATAATCCCGGTGGAAATCCGATCCCTTTTCACACTCATCGCTTGTTCTGTACTTTCGGAAAGTGTTTCAAATCAGAAAAAGAGTGAAACATAGCTGAGAATATGAGAGAACCTTGAGAATTTCGTTTTTTAAGTAAATATTTATTAAGTAAGTAAATATCTATTAAATAAATATCTATTAAATAAATATTTATTATCATTTTAGTTATGTACAAAGAACGGTGGCCGTTTTCGTCTTTTCATCACCGCTTTCCATGTAAGAATAGGTGAACGAAGGCATTCCGGCACAGGCAGCACCGTGATCACCCTGGAAATTTGGATTGAAGTACATTGAACAAATTGAACTGCATTGAAGTACAATGAACTACAATGAACTACAATGAACTACATTGAACTATTGGGTTGGGGAGAATGAGTCGGCGCCAAACTTTAAAGGGACTTTTTGCACACATAAAGCCTTTTTTAAACATACGTTTGGTTTCATCAAAAGGATCCACTATTTCTCTACAAAATCACTTTTGAGAGATTCCACAAAGCTTTTCTTTCGTCGAGTTTATGAATTGTGACCGGAGATCAGAAATGGGTTTATCTGTGAACTTTCGAAGGAAGCGGCAATGGGTGGGGCCAGGCGAGAAACCCGAAAGTGACCCTAAGCCCGATTTGCACCAGAAGAAGTTGATGCTCTGCGTTTTCTGGGATATAGAGAGAGTGGTGTGCTGGGAGTTGCTGGATAGCAAGACGACCGTTAATGCAATCAAATACAGTGAACAGTTGAGAAAGGTGAATGAATCCCTGAAGAAGAATAGTCAAAGAATAGAATAAGAAGATATTTCCTTGAAGAATAGTCTAATCCAAGTCAAAGATCGTTCTCATCCACGACAACGCGCGCCCTCATGTTGCAAAAGTGACTAGCTCTAAAATCAACAGCCTTGTTTGGGAACTTTTGGCTTGAATAGACTTTTGGTGTCTTCCCCATACAGTCCGGACCTCGATGACTACTTGATTACTATTTATTCCGGATCATGAGTAACTGGTCCGGAATAAATATTGGGTTGGGGAGAATGAGTCGGCGCCAAACTTTAAAGGGACTTTTTGCACACATAAAGCCTTCTTTAAACATACGTTTGGTTTCATCAAAAGGATCCACTATTTCTCTACAAAATCACTTTTGGGAGATTCCACAAAGCTTTTCTTTCGTGGAGTTTATGAACTTCCAAACGCAGCTGGTTAAAATGGCAAAGAGTCCGACTCATCATTTGAACAGTTTCTTTCACATAAACCTTCTTTGGTGTTTATATAAAAAAGATAGAGCACATTCAATTACTTAAGTTGCCAAATTTGCAGGAAGATCCCACCAATGGTTTTTTCTAGATCACAGTTTGTAGTTTTTGTGAAAAAATGGCTTTTTCTTGAGCGGAGGCGCTGTTTGAATTTTCTTTTAAATGTCATTTTGTAGAGAATTAATTAACCATTCTACTGATATCAAACGCATATTATTTGACGAAGTCGAATAGAAGTTTTAGACATTTTTTTGATTTTCGGCGCCGACTCATTCTCCCCAACCCAATAGTAATCAAAATGAGCTTGCGGGAGAACACTTCGATTCGGAAGAAGCAGTCAAAAATTGGCTTTGAAAGTTTTTCGATCCGAAACCAAGATCCTACCACGAAAGAGGAATCCGCAAATTGCCTGTAAAATGGGCAGAAGTCGTCAATAATAATGGAGGTTATTTGGAATGAATTGATGGTTTGATGTTGAATAAATTTTAGTTCAAAGTCCGGCAGTTTTCAATTCACCAATCTAATACATTGAACTGCATTGAACTAGATTGAATTACATTGAACTATTGGGTTGATGCATAATTATCCGGACTTCTTTTTGCGTGCTTGTATCTTTTTTGTTTTGAAAGCTTTTTGTCTATTTCTTTTTTTAAAATATTCGTTATTCTTTAGTGAACAAAATGCGTGTCGACAATCATATCCATCTTCGCCATATCATGCTCTACCACTTCGAAAAGGGATGGTCTGCCGCAGAGTCGTTTCGCGATCTCAAAGAACTTTTTGGTCAAGGAACAATTGGACGCGCAACAGTTTATGAATGGTTCGATCGTTTCAAGTCCGGTAACACAAGTGTTGATGATGAACCAGGAAGAGGACGGCCATCAGAATTCGATGACAAGGCACTTCTGGAAGCCGTTGAAGAATACGAAAGCCTGACAACCAGAATGCTGGCAGATGAATTCAATGTTGACCAGTCAACGATCGTGCGCCATCTCAAAAAGCTTGGCAAAGTATGGAAATTGGCTGGATGGGTCCCACACGAACTCTCCGTCCGCACGTTGAGCGCCATGTCGTCGAATCCATCGCTAGTAAGGGCTGGGATCTTCTTCCACACCCGCCATATTCTCCTACTGAAGCCCCAACGGACTACCACGTCAATCGATCGCTCAAAAATTGGCAAACAAATAAGATCTACAACGATTTGGATGACTTGATAGACGATGTTAAAGCGTGGATTGCCTCCAAAGATCGTTTATTCTTCGCTCGTGGAATCGATCGTCTTCCAAGCAAATGGCAATCAGTTATTGATGTAGGCGGTGAATATGCTCCAGAATAATCAATTAAACATATTTTTCTAACTATTTATGTTATTTTTTGTTAAATAAAATCATTTATAAAAGAAGTCCGGATAATTATGCATCAACCCAATAGATTGAACTAGATTGAACTGCATTGAACCACAGTAAACAAAAACTACAATATTATCTGACTCACTTTCACATTGGCTGCCACAATAGCTCCCTGGAATTTGGGATAAAATTGAGAGATCCTTGCTAGGGCTTTTCTCGCGGCTTCACTTGGAGCAGCGCCTTGTCGCATGAATTCCACCGTTTGATAACTGAAATCAAGAGTACTTTAGAAGAAATGAAGTCAATCCAAATTTTCCCTAGCGCCTTTTGAAGCATGTATTGCAGCAGATCTTTTTCAAAAACCTCTTTCAAACCAAACCTCTCAAAAGAACAAACTTTTCTTGTTTTTAGAATAGAAAGAATCAATTTCTTATCTAAGATAAAGACAAAAAAACAGCCTAAGACAAAAACAGTCAAAAAACAAACAATGTTAAAAACTTATTGAATAGATTGGCTTAGAAATATATTGATTTCTATAATTGTAACTTGTAAACAGCTCTTCAGTGCTTAAAACTGGTACTCAATGCTAGATTGGGCCGTAATTTTCAAAGCTCTTCCCACAAACCTCGGCAAGAACCTCATCATCACATCGCCGTCTCCTGTCGCCGCCGCTCCACCCACTTTCTGTGTCAAATAGGCTCCAGAGCCGGGAATCGATGAATCTCCGACTCTTCCTGGGATCTAGAAATTTGTCTGTCTTGTCTGGCTATTCGTTTGTCCGTCTGTCCGTCTGTCTACCCGTTTGTCCATCTGTCCGTCTGTCCGTTTGTCCATATGTCCTTTCTAATTGAGCAAACCGTATGTGTCAATCAGTGGATTGGTTAAAATAGCTTTTTAAAATGAACTGATAAGTCTTAGATAAACTGATAAGATGACTTATCAGCCTAAAAGATAGATTTCCCAAAAGGCAGGCATTGTTTAAACTGTCACAGAAAATGTAGAACATCTAGCGTAAATCTGCCTTAATTATGCTCTAGTTCCTAGTCTAGATTTAGCATGTTTGTCTGTCTGTTGTCTGCTTGTCTGTTCTAATGGCCTAAAGCAATGATCTGGTTTGATTTTTGGCTTTTCTGTGAGGTTAGTACTGTGATAAATGTATAAATGAGTACTGGGAAACTGTAGAGTACTCTACTGTACTCTACTGGACCGTATAGTACTCTACTGGACGGTATAGTACTCTACTGTTCGCTATAGTACTATACCGGACGGTATAGTACTATACCGGACGGTATAGTACTCTACTGTACGAGATAGTACTCTACTGGACCGTATAGTACTCTACTGGTCCGTATAGTACTCTACTGATCGCTATAGTACTATACCGGACGGTATAGTACTATACCGGACGGTATAGTACTCTACTGGGCGGTATAGTACTCTACTGGACGGTATAGTACTCTACTGGACGGTATAGTACTCTACTGGACGGTATAGTACTCTACTGGACGGTATAGTACTCTACTGTACGAGATAGTACTCTACTGGACGGTATAGTACTCTACTGTACGAGATAGTACTCTACTGGACGGTATAGTACTCTACTGTACGAGATAGTACTCTACTGGACGGTATAGTACTCTACTGTACGAGATAGTACTCTGCTGGACCGTATAGTACTCTACTGGACGGTATAGTACTCTACTGGACGGTATAGTACTACTGTACGAGATAGTACTCTACTGGACGGTATAGTACTCTACTGTACGAGATAGTACTCTGCTGGACCGTATAGTACTCTACTGGACGGTATAGTACTCTACTGTTCGCTATAGTACTATACCGGACGGTATAGTACTATACCGGACGGTATAGTACTCTACTGTACGAGATAGTACTCTACTGGACCGTATAGTACTCTACTGGTCCGTATAGTACTCTACTGATCGCTATAGTACTATACCGGACGGTATAGTACTATACCGGACGGTATAGTACTCACTGGGCGGTATAGTACCTACCGGACGGTATAGTACTCTACCGGACGGTATAGTACTCTACTGGACGGTATAGTACTCTACTGGACGGTATAGTACTCTACTGTACGAGATAGTACTCTACTGGACGGTATAGTACTCTACTGTACGAGATAGTACTCTACTGGACGGTATAGTACTCTACTGTACGAGATAGTACTCTACTGGACGGTATAGTACTCTACTGTACGAGATAGTACTCTGCTGGACCGTATAGTACTCTACTGGACGGTATAGTACTCTACTGGACGGTATAGTACTCTACTGTACGAGATAGTACTCTACTGGACGGTATAGTACTCTACTGTACGAGATAGTACTCTGCTGGACCGTATAGTACTCTACTGGACGGTATAGTACTCTACCGGACGGTATAGTACTCTACCGTACGAGATAGTACTCTACTGGACGGTATAGTAATCTACTGTACGAGATAGTACTCTACTGGACGGTATAGTACTCTACTGTACGAGATAGTACTCTACTGGGCGGTATAGTACTCTACTGTACGAGATAGTACTCTACTGGACCGTATAGTACTCTACTGGTCCGTATAGTACTCTACTGATCGGTATAGTATTCTACTGTACGAGATAGTACTCTACTGTTCGGCAATGTACCCTATAGTACTCTAATGTACCCTATGGTACTCTATTGTTCGGTATAGTACTCTACAGTTCAGTATAGTACTCTACCAGAGTTACAAAAGGACTCTAGCATCTCTAGATCTCTAGATCTCTAAATCTCGACCCACTTTATGACTAGCGCCATTCGTCGAAGTTCCCGCAGAGATTTCTCCACTTTCATCAATGATTACCATGCCAATTGTATCGTGATTGTAGCTAAAAATGTTTACTAGATGTTTACTAGATATTACTTTAATTTACATTACATTTAATTCCTTTTTATTTAAAATAAATCTGAAATAGACGATTTTTACACGTTTTTACACCATAGTGCACTTTCGCAAAAAAAGCCGTTACCCAAAATCTAGTCCCTCTTTTCCCCGGGGTCTCTCATCGGTCTCGTGGTGTAGTGGTTATCACATCTGTCTAACACACAGAAGGTCGGCGGTTCGATCCCGCCCGAGATCATTTTTGATTTCTTTTTCTGATTTAAGATGGGGAAAGCTTAAGATGGATATCTTTAAGCATGGCTATGACTTTTCGAAGTGATAAGCTTCAGTTTTTTCATTTTTCAGACAATTTTCAGACATTTTTAGACATTTCAGACAATTTTTAGACATTTCAGACGATTTTCAGACATTTCAGACGATTTTTAGACATTTCAGACGATTTTCAGACATTTCAGACGATTTTTAGACATTTCAGACGATTTTCAGACATTTTTCAGACATTTTTCAGTTAAACCTCGAAAAGCTGAAAGATTTTTGGGAAAATCTGTGAGATTTCGCGCGAATGTATGTGGAGAGATTGAAAGTCCAAGAAGCGCTGCTGATTTTATGATTGTGCCCCAGATTTTGGCCAAGTTTAGCAACAGAACAGAGACCAATAAAGCTAAAATTTCTTTAGAAAACCTTAGAATATAATATAGTTCTGTCATTTAAAATAAAAATTAAAAAGCCAAGACTTCGCGTCACTACGGGAAGTCGAACCCGGACCATGTGCCTTGTATACAAGGGCCCTGCCTACTGCGCCATGGCGACAATGGAGACCCGCCGGAAAAACTAGCTCTTAACCGACCAACGAAGCTTTTTAGTCTAGCCAGATGACAGATTTTAGTCAATTTGACCCACAGATCATTGAAAAGAACCCCTATTTTCAAAGGCCGGTCAACCGGTCTCGTGGTGTAGTGGTTATCACATCTGTCTAACACACAGAAGGTCGGCGGTTCGATCCCGCCCGAGATCATTTTTGATTTCTTTTTTGATTTTGGATCAAGGATTTGTTTCGTTTTGGGATTTTTAAGATTAAGATCTTGTTTTTAAGAATTCTGGAAGGTTCTGGGTGAATTTTTGACTCAAAAAGAGCTAAAACGGACGAAATAAACGATGAAAACGGGAAAAATGAGCGAAAAACGATGACAATTGGCTCGTTTAAAGGGTTTAAAGGGAAAATTTACTTGAAAATACTATGGATGATATGCAAATTTAAGATTTACCGATCGATCACACGATTCGTAACGATTTCTGACTTCGAATTCGTCTTGAAAATCTCATTTCGATGATATGGACCACAAGTTTGTTTTGGATTTGGAAAAACATTCTGAAAAAAGATTTGAAATCGAAACCTCGAACAAATCTCTAACAAACCGTCCAAAAATTCGGCTGACAATTGTTGTTTTTCCATTTTTGAAGCATTTCCAGTGACGCATTCGTCGTTAAATCCGTCTCCGAAAAGCCCATCCTTAACGCGAATTGGGTGGCTGAAAAAGCAAGAGTCTGAGACTGGTTCTGGTTCAGGCTTTGGTTCTGGCTCTGATTAATATTCAATCCTCCCTCGTGCCTTCCAGATCTCTCATTTCTGCAAAAAAAATCAAATCTAGCACTTCCTCAATTCTAAATCTCGTTCCACAATGTCGAATGTCGGTATTGGTGTCAACTCTTGCGCACTTTTTTCCCATTTCCCCTTCACCAACCTCTTTCGTGCGTTCCAAATCGTCCATTTTTTTAGAAATTTTTACCTTGTTCCCCAACTAGCATCGTGTGTTCCGTGTAATTCATCACCGCCCATGCCACCCGTGCCGCGTCTTTCACCCGTCTCAGCTGAGCCACCCCCGACATTTTATGGCCGGGGCTGGAGTGGTAATCTTATTGTATTTTTTATCTACTCTACCAGTGAAACTACTAACTACTACTAACGTTTTTTTTCACGCAATCTAGGCCCCGCCCCTTTTTGACAGACGGGACAGACGGGCAGACAGACAGACAGACAGACGGACAGACCAACAAACAAACAGGCAGAAAGACAGAGAGACAGGCAGACAGACAGAGAAGCAGGCAGGCAGACAGACAGACGGGCATACAGGCAAACAGGCAAACAGACAGACAGACAGACAGACAAACGTCTCTTCTGCTGTATATATAGTAGATAAAATGTTCGATTTTTTGGCTACCAGCCGAAAAACCGGTTTTTCCGGGTTTACGGGTCTTTCTGACTAGACGTTTCGGTCGCCGTGGGGCAGTCGGGAGCTCGCTTGTCTACGGCCCACACGATCCGAGTTAGAATCCCGGCTGTGTCGTGAGCTTTGCTATTTAAAAAAAATGGAATACGCGATGAACAACTACATAGAATTCTAAGCCTAACAAACTAAAAAGCCTGTAAATCGCGTACAGACGGACGGACAGACTTCTTCTGACGGGAATATGTCGAGCTGATAGGCTATTCAATCAAGAAAACCGTTTTACATGAATTTCAGCGGCTGAAATGAATCATACGTAGAGGACGGATAGACAGATAGGCAGACGGACGAACAGACGGACAGACAGACGGACAGACAGACGGACAGACGGACGGACAGACGGACGACCGCACAGACACTGCTCTTTTACATATAGTAGATGATTTCCCTCACCCATCAATGAGCAAAGCGTCCAGTGTCGTTTCTCCGTTCTCATCCGGCGATCCACCGTAACCAACTGTTGTATCACACTGGGATTTACGATTTTGCAAATTTAATGCGATTTTAATCCAAAGTTAGATATATTTCTAAGTAAATTTTTCAAATAAACCTACTTGCAAGCGTTCACACGTGGATAAACCCTCGACAAGCGAGGCCATTCGCGAGTTCCCATTTCTGTACGCTTCGAAAGCTAAAACGAAAGTACAAGTACATATACTTTATGCTTTTTTTATAAACTCACAACTTCTGGCGCACTGGTTTGACATAATTCTTAAGAAATGTGCGCCAGAAAGCGTGCGTTTTAGAAGATTTGAGCACAAAGTGCATCTAGATTTGCTTTTAGATTCTGCTCTTTTAATTTTAGATTATAATTCTTTCGCTTTCGCTTTCTGCTACGCTTTCTGCTTTCGCGCAAACGCTCATCCTTTGGCGCATCGTTTTCGTAAGATAAAGCACCTTGAGTTAAGGTCAAAAGAAGCAAGCAAGTCTACTAGATGGCGTGCGTTTACTAGCAGACAAAGTACAGTCGCGTATACAGCTGATCAAGAGGATCAAGAGAATCGAGATGAGCAAGAGGACCAAGAAGGTCAAGAGGACCAAGCCGATCAAGAGGACCAAGAGGACCAAGAAGGTCAAGAGGACCAAGAAGGTCAAGAGGACCAAGAGGACCAAGAAGGTCAAGAGGACCAAGCCGATCAAGAGGACCAAGAGGACCAAGAAGGTCAAGAGGACCAAGAAGGTCAAGAGGACCAAGAAGGTCAAGAGGATCAAGAAGGCCAAGAGGATCAAGAGGACCAAGAAGGTCAAGAGGACCAAGAAGGTCAAGGGGACCAAGAAGGCCAAGAGGATCAAGAAGGCCAAGAGGATCAAGAGGACCAAGAAGGTCAAGAGGATCAAGACGGTCAAGAGGACCAAGACGGTCAAGAGGACCAAGTCGATCAAGTCGATCAAGCCGATTGGCGCGTACTTTGTGCGCTCAAACACATGCTATTTAGCAGGGTAAATTGAAAAACGATAGAGTTTGGTGTGTTGGATGCAATGCGTTTACAAGATTACAAAGTGGAAAAAAAGAAATCCCCAAAACAAACCATTGAAAGTGGCCTCTTGAAATCCGTCGGCTCCCCACGTCGTGACCACAATTTGGGCTTTAACAACTCCAATAAATAGTAAAATATCGAAAATTAACATATTAATATGTGCAAATGGCTTTAAACCTGAAAAACAATCAAATTTGATCGATTCACTAACGTAAAAAAACGGAAAACGTAAAAAAAAGGAAAACGCAAATTTTTTTGATGAAAAATGACCTTATCAGATCGTTTTTTAGCCATTGGCACGTGTTTACTGATCAAAGGAGCAAAGAGAAATGGAGGAAATGAAACTATACAATTTGGAGGTGTTTAAAGACTGAAAAAAGTGCGAAAGAAACGAATCAATTGAGGTCACTGGGGTGATTTATTGTTTTTCTTTGAAAGCAAAAAATCAATGCTGAAATCAATGAATGCTTTAGACTTTGTGCTCATTTTTTTGGAAATCGAGTTACAAGTTACGAGAAATGAATCGGAAACGAATCGGAGCTGGCAACTGAATCGGAGCTGGCAACTGAATCGGAGCTGGCAACTGAATCGGAGCCTAATCGGAACCGGATTGCAATCGAATTGAAGCGCAATCGGAACCGAATCGGAGCCAAATCGGAGCTGGCAACCGAATCGGAGTTAGCAACCGAATCGGAACCGGATTGCAACCGAATCGGAAACGAATTGGAAACGAATTGGAAACGAATCGGAGCCGAACCAAATGGGAAACGAATCGGAAACGAATCGGAACCGGATTGCAGCCGAATCGCTGGCAATCGAATCGAAGCCGAATCGGAACCGGATTGCAACCGAATTGAAGCGGAATCGGAACCGGATGGCAACCGAATCGGAGCCGAACCAAATGAGAAACGAATCGGAACCGAATCAGAACCGGATTGCAACCGAATCGGAGCCGAATCGGAACCGAATGGCAACCTTTCTGATACAGGACTTTAATATAGGATTCTTCACTTTTCCCGTGAAACCGAGTTACAAGTTAAAAATAGGTTAAATCGGAAACGAATCGGAGCCGAAGGGCCCGGCCCCGCCCCGGCCGGGCCCCCCCCCGACCCCGGCCCCACCCGCACCCGGGCGCCCCCCCACCCAAAAAAAAAAAAACCCCAACCCCACCCCAACCCCAACCCGAACCGGGTTGCAACCCAATTGAAACGGAATCGGAACCGAATTGCAACCGAATCGGAACCGAACCAAATGAGAAACGAATCGGAACCGAATCGGAATTTCAGCGGTTAAACATCAAATAAATCATCACTGATAGGAAACCGAATCGGAACTATCCGGTACTTTAACTTGCCAAAAGAAAGAAGAAAAGACAAAGAGGAAGAAGAAAGGAAGGAAGGAAGGAAGGAAGGAAGAAACAAACAAACAAACAAACAAACAAAAAAAAAAAAAAAAAAAAAAAAAAAAAAAAAAAAAAAAAAAAAAAAAAAAAAAAAAAAAAAAAAAAAAAAAAAAAAAAAAAAAAAAAAAAAAAAAAAAAAAAAAAAAAAGAAAGAAAGAAAGAAAGAAAGAAAGAAAGAAAGAAAGAAGAAAGAAAGAAGAAAGAAAGAAAGAAGAAATAAGGAAATCTAGTCATTTGGCCAGTTTGTAAGGCAATTGAGAGAAGGTCGTAGGCTACAAAGATAGCCTTGTGTTCATAGAGATACAAAGTTGTGAGATATTTGATAGTGTAAGATTCAAATATCGACTAGTGACTCACAGCCGTTTAGTAGAACAACGAGTCTTCCTGGATCTATGATCAGGGGAAAAGGGTCAGCTGTCCACTCCCTTCCCTCCAGCTGATCCTTTCCTTTTACTCGATTATCGATTGCTGACCATTACCCTAAATTTGAAGCTTTATCCTTTTTCTTTGTTTGTTAGCCTTCTTTAGCTTGTCCTTTAGCTTATCCTTTAGCTTTTCCTTGTTTAGCTTGTCCTTTAGCTTGTCCTTCTTTAGCTTGTCCTTTAGCTTGTTCTTTAGCTTCTCCTTCTTTAGCTTGTCCTTTAGCTTGTCCTTGTTTAGCTTGTCCTTTAGCTTGTCCTTCTTTAGCTTGTCCTTTAGCTTGTCCTTGTTTAGCTTGTCCTTTAGCTTTTCCTTCTTTAGCTTGTTCTTTAGCTTGTCCTTGAGCTTGTCCTTTAGCTTTTCCTTGTTCGCTTGTCCTTGTTTATCGTAATCTCGTAAAACTTTATGCTCTCACAATTATGTACTTTGTGCTTTTACTCGATGACTTTGTGCTTGATGGCAAATTGAATTGTTTCAGAACAAAGAATATTTCCTTTGCACCATTTCTAGACTATCCCCTTTCCAGTATGGATTTAAAATTGCGAAACGCTGCAGCGCCAATTCGCGAGATGCATGTGGCACTTGTCGGAATGGCTGGCTCGGGAAAATCGGGTGATTAGAAGCCAGAAACTATAAAGATATCTAGGCCAGAAACTGAAAATTAGGCTATTTTTTGAAACTATGGATCTCACAGGGATCTAGACTAAAGAATTCTTTTCATTTCAATTCTTTTTCAACCATTTCCCTTTTCAGCGCTCACCGTCAAGTACATCACGAAGCGCTTCATTGGCGAGTACGATCCGATGCTTGGTTCGAGAAATTGTTTACAAATTTCTATTGTTGTTGTTTACAACAATCTATTGTTGTCTACTCTTTTATCAAAGCCAATTCCAGAAGACACCTATTGCCGTCAGGACACAGTCGTGCAACAACCGTTGATGGTTTGGTTGATGGATACGGTCGATGATGCGAAACGGTTAGTGGAAAGACATTCTAGACAAGGCTTCTAGACAGGCAAGGCTTCGAGACAAGGCTTCTAGACAGGCAAGGCTTCGAGACAAGGCTTCTAGACAGGCAAGGCTACCAGAAAAGGCTTCTAGACAGGCAAGGCTTCGAGACAAGGCTTCTAGACAGGCAAGGCTTCGAGACAAGGCTTCTAGACAGGCAAGGCTACCAGAAAAGGCTTCTAGACAGGCAGGCTTCGAGACAGGCTTCTAGACGGCAAGGCTTCGAGACAGGCTTCTAGACAGGCAAGGCTACCAGAAAGGCTTCTAGACAGGCGGCTTCGAGACAAGGCTTCTAGACAGGCAAGGCTTCGAGACAAGGCTTCTAGACAGGCAAGGCTTCGAGACAAGGCTTCTAGACAGGCAAGGGTTCTAGACAAGGCTTCTAGACAGGCAAGGCTTCGAGACAAGGCTTCTAGACAGGCAAGGCTACCAGAAAAGGCTTCTAGACAAGGCTTCTAGACAGGCAAGGCTTCTAGACAAAAGCAGGTTAGTGCCAAGCTGAGCCAGATCCTGGCTAAACCAGGAGAACGAGAAAGGTCAAGCAAGCCAAGGCCAAGCAAGCCAAGGCCAAGCAGCCAAAAGAGGCTTTGATTTGGCTTTACTGTAAGGGGTAGCCAAAAGTTAGAGAGTGCTTTTTTTCTGTTTTTTGTCTGTCATCTCCCTAAACTTGGCTAAAGCTCAGGCTCAGGCTCAGGCTCAGGCTAAAGCCCAAGCTCAATGAAGAAGGCTTAAGCTTTCAGAAGACTTTTCTTCAAACTTTCAACATTTTAATCTAGTTTTGAGCAAGCTTTTGCCTCAAGAACGGACCAGACAGAATAATCCATCGGATTGAAAACCGGCGAGCTGAACGATTCAGAAAAAGAGATGAAATTTGGAAACTTCACTTTGCAAAAATCTGGGATTTTCTGGGCTTTCTGGGCCGGAGCCTAGTCTTTTTGGAATGTCGAAATTTGATTTTTGAAATGCTTTTGTGCTTAGTGGAAAATTTCGGCTTTGAGGAGATCGAGATAGTTAATAATAATAGATAATAAGGACTGGACCTAGAATTATGGGCCATTCTGTAGATCAGAGACATCCTGTAGATCGGAGACATCCTGTAGATCAGAGAAATCCCATTCATTTGCCCATTGTCAAAAGCTAGGACAGGTCAATCATTCTAGGCCGAAAAGTGGGTTCAGATTTAGCCAGGTTAGAGTTAGGCAAGTTAGAGTTAGGCAAGTTAGAGCTAAGCAAGTTAGAATAGGTCATGTGCCAGGCCAGTTCAAGTCATGATCATGACCAAGCCATAACCG